CTGGACGATGTCTCCAATGGACCTTAACAACAGGAATAGCTCTCGAGCGCAATCTCCTCACATCTCTGGCTAGAGTGGCAACTGGCTCCTCTACAAATGTCAAACGATCATCCAACTCGACTGCATCATACTGGAGCACATGGGACTCAACAGGAACATACTAGCGTAACATCGAAACATGAAAAACAGGGTGAATAGCTGAAAATACTGGAGGTAGGGCCAACTTATAAGCAACCTCCCCAACTGTCCGGAGTATCTCAAAAGGTCCAATGTACCTGGGGCTAAGCTTGCCCCGCCTCCCAAACCTCATCACGCCGTTCATGGGCGACACACGGAGGAATACCCGGTCACCAACAGAGAATCTCAAAGGTCGACGCCTCTGATCAGCATGCCTCTGGTGCCTACTCTCCCAACGACGCTGCCTCGAATTAAGGTCCATCTGGCTCATGATGTACTGAAGACTCCTATGATCGGTATAGATCTCACATCGAACTCCATACAAGTAGTTCCCGGATGGATAGAGTATCTAGACTCATGGGCCTCAGAAAGTATCAACTGTATCAAATCTCCAACTCTCGGAACACAGATGCGGCCGGCGAATTTCAATACTCCAGCAGGATCTAAGGTAGCCTGACCACCATCACCCGCTAACACTCGATCTCTAAGGGCCACCAAGGTATCATCCTCAAACTGGCAACCACGGATCCTATCAAGCAAAGAAGACTGAACTTCCATAAAGGCCAAGACGCGTCTAGAATCTGAGATATCCAACCGAACCATGCTATTAGCTAAGGACTGAATGTCCAAAGCTAAAGGTCGATCCTCAACAGATAAGAAGGCTAGACTACCCATACTCACTGCCTTCCGTCTCAAGGCGTCCGCTACCACATTCGCCTTGCCCGGATGATAGAGAATAGAGAGGTCATAGTCCTTCAGGAGCTCAATCCAACGACGCTGCCTCGAATTAAGGTCCCTCTGGCTCATGATGTACTGAAGACTCCTATGATCGGTATAGATCTCACATCGAACTCCATACAAGTAGTTCCCGGATGGATAGAGTATCTAGACTCATGGGCCTCAGAAAGTATCAACTGTATCAAATCTCCAACTCTCGAAACACAGATGCGGCCGGCAAATTTCAACACTCCATCAGGATCTAAGGTAGCCTGACCACCATCACCCGCTAACACTCGATCTCTAAGGGCCACCAAGGTATCATCCTCAAATTGGCAACCACGGATCCTATCAAGCAAAGAAGACTGAACTCCCATAAAGGCCAAGACGCGTCTAGAATCTGAGATATCCAACCGAACCATGCTATTAGCTAAGGACTGAATGTCCAAAGCTAAGGGTCGCTCCTCAACAGATAGGAAGGCTAGACTACCCATACTCACGTCCTTCTAGCTCAAGGCGTCTGCTACCACATTCGCCTTGCCCGGATGATAGAGAATAGAGTGATCGTAGTGCTTCAGGAGCTCATTCCAACGACGCTGCCTCGAATGAAGGTCCCTCTGTCTCATGATGTACTGAAGACTCCTGTGATCAGTATAGATCTCGCATCAAACTCCATACAGGTAATGCCTCCAAATCTTAAGCTCAAAAACCACGGCCGCCAACTCTAAGTCATTAGTGTGGTAGTTGCGCTCGTGCGACTTAAGCTGCCTCGACGCATAAGCAATAACCCGGCCCTGCTGCATCAATACACAACCCAAACCAACGCCGAATGCGTCACAATATTATCTAAGAGATCCTGAATCTGAACACTGAGCTCCTTGAGCTCTACGGGGGCCATACGGTACGGTGGTATAGAAATGGGCTTAGTGCCCGGCTCTACTTCAATAGGAAATTTAATGGCACGATCAGGAGGGAAATCAGGCAGATCAGCAGGAAACACATCTGTAAACTCTCGAACAATAGGTACCGAATCAACGGTAGGACCTTCCTTACGAACATCTCTAAGATAAGCTAAATAAGCCAAACACCCGCTAGCCATCAACCTCTGGGCCCGAACAAAAGATATCACCCCAACTGGTGTGCGACTACAAGAGCCCTGCCACACCACTGGTGGAATATCAGGCATGGCTAAAGTAACGGTCTTAGCGTAGCAATCCAAGACCGCATGGTGGGGAGATAACCAATCCATACCCAAAATCAAATCAAAATCCACCATATCAAGCAAAATAAGATCAACCCTAGTGTCTCGACTCTGAATAGTCACCACACAAGATCGAAATACCTGATCCACTACTAAATAATCGACTACCGGGGTTGAAACACGCAACGGCTCAACCAATAGCTCTGAGATCATACTCAATCGAGGAGCACAATAAACAGATATATAGGAATAAGTAGAGCCTGGATCAAATAAGGTGGATGCGGGCTGATGGCATAATAACACTGTACCTGTGATCACATCGTCCGAGGTCTCAGCATCAGCTCTAGATGGAGCTGCATAAAAGTGGGCCTGGACTCCCCTACCCTGTATATCGGCTCTGCCCCCTAACCTGCCTCCTCGGGGACCACCCCGTATACCCTGATGACCACCCCTACGGTCCTGTCCCTGGCCTCTGCCTCTGGCTGGAGGTGCTCGCGCATGCATAGCTGTCTGAGAGCTGGAGGTCGGCTACCCCGGCCAGAAGAACCCATCTGTGAACTATCTCGGCCCCGACTAGGACCGGCACTAAAACCAATATGGTGGTGCTGATCACCCTCCGATGCCTGGTGAGAGGCCTGGAAGGGGCTACTAGACTGACCCGACTGAAACCTCTGCTGAGATCTATCATAAGACTCTCGGGGTCTGAAACGGCGCCTATCATAGCTATCCTCCTGTCTAGCTCTCTTGCCGCTGCCCCCTTGGGCCTCGCGACGGAGCTGCTCGATAGTGCGGGCATGGTCCACTACATCCAGAAATGAGCGGCCCGCTGAGACTAAAGACTGAGTCTCAATCCGCAACTGTAGTCTCAAACCCCGAACAAAACAACGAACCCTCTCCCCCTTCAGTAGGTAATATCATGGCGGCATGCCTGGAGAGCTCGTGGAATCGGGCCTCATACTCTGATACTGTCATGGAGCCCTGCTGTAACCGAGGAAACTGATCTCTGAGCTGATCTCTGATGCTCCTGGGAATAAATCGGGCCAAGAAGGCCTCTGAAAACTCCGTCCATGTGACCGGTGGAGACCCAGCTGGCCTGGTCTCTAAGTATGTACGCCACCACTGCCTGGCGGGACCGACTAGTTGGTACACGGTGAAGTCTGCTCCTCTCAACCCCACTAAACCAAAAGTCTGTAGCCGCTCTCGGCAAGTTACTAAAAACTCGTCGGCATCATCCCCAACTGCCCCAGAAAACCTCGGCGGTTATAGTCTAAGGAATACCGCGAGCATCTTCTGCTCCCGTAGTGGCATGACGCCCTCCAAATCGTCCGGCTGAACAACCGGTGCCTCTAGCTGCTGAACAACCGGTCCCGCTGGTGTAGGCTTGCCCTGCGGTACTGGAACGGCTGGAGCTGGGGCCTGCTGCATGCCCCCAATGGCAGCTATTATCTGTACGAGCATCGCCTGTATATCTGGAGCTGCCATAGGCTCGGGCGGTAGCTGGGCTGGTCCCGGTCCCATCGGCTGCTGTTGTGCTGGAGCTGCTGGTGCTGGAACTCTAGCACGACCTCGAGGTCGGCCTCTACCCCTAGTTAGGGCCCTACCACGCGTGCGAGCCATCCCTATAAAAGAGTGGTACAAGTAAGATTTTCAGAAACCGATAAGACACACAATGCACGACAGTGATACAAAAGCGACACGTTCCTAAAGACATCCTGTAGCCTCCCGAAGATAAGTAACGGACGTCTCCGTACCGATCTGCAGGACTCTACTAGACATTAGCTCTGTACAAGTGAGACCGACGAACCTGGGGCTCTGATACCAATTTGTCACGACCCGATTTATCAAGTCATGATGGCACCTACTATAACCCACCAGTAGGTAAGCCAACCCGTAACCCGGAACAACAAGTAATGGGTCTGAGGGTAGAAACTAAACAAGAGTAGGAAATTAACAATATAAACAGGCGGAATCAAACCAAAAACATATATACAAATAAAGATCCCTCCCAGAACCTGGAAGTCACCAGTACAGAGCTACTACAAAATGAGTACAAGTCCCAAAACTGGACAACAACAACTGGACTGTCTCGAAAGGAAAAAGACAAGTCTATATATACAGATGGAGACTGAAATAGTACAAAACGCCATGTGCTCACCCCCGTCTCCGGATAAGTCTACTCCAAGCTCGATCAACGCTGGCTACTAGTTCTCGGACCTGCATCACAAAATAGATACAGAGCGTAGCATGAGTACCGACTGTAGCTAAAACCAGATCACAGGTAAGCTGGACCACGGACTCTAACCGGGTACTGTAGCTAAAACCAGATCACAGGTAAGCTGGACCACGGACTCTAACCGGGTACTGTAGCTAAAACCAGATCACAGGTAAGCTGGACCACGGACTCTAACCGGGTACTGTAGCTAAAACCAGATCACAGGTAAGCTGGACCACGGACTCTAACCGGGTACTGTAGCTAAAACCAGATCACAGGTAAGCTGGACCACGGACTCTAACCGGGTACTGTAGCTAAAACCAGATCACAGGTAAGCTGGACCACGGACTCTAACCGGGTACTGTAGCTAAAACCAGATCACAGGTAAGCTGGACCACGGACTCTAACCGGGTACTGTAGCTAAAACCAGATCACAGGTAAGCTGGACCACGGACTCTAACCGGGTACTGTAGCTAAAACCAGATCACAGGTAAGCTGGACCACGGACTCTAACCGGGTACTGTAGCTAAAACCAGATCACAGGTAAGCTGGACCACGGACTCTAACCGGGTACTGTAGCTAAAACCAGATCACAGGTAAGCTGGACCACGGACTCTAACCGGGTACTGTAGCTAAAACCAGATCACAGGTAAGCTGGACCACGGACTCTAACCGGGTACTGTAGCTAAGCCTGGACATAAGTAAGCTGGACCACGGACTCTAACCGGGTACTGTAGCTAAGAATCAATATCCAACCATACGTCGCGGGAAATATCACCAAACTGATAACCTCAAATAATCATTTTAGTCCGACCCTCATATACCCCAAATCGCCGAGGAAGTATCCAATAGTCAGTAAGCTAGACCACGGACTTTAACCGGGTACTATAACCGATAAAAAACAGGGCATTATAGATACAAGGTCATAAGTTGAGTTACCGCCTAGCTAAGGCTCAATCTATCAGACTCAAGTCTGCTATATCAGTCTACAAGGAGCTGACCGTCCGAAACGACGTCGGAAGAAGTTCTACTGCTCAACGACATCCGAAATCTCGCAAGTCTATGGCAACACTAGTCTAAGCCTAGACTAAGGCCAAACATACTTTAAATCAATATTATCATATACACCACAAGTTATGGATATTCAATAATATCAAGAGACATGCTGTCATAATCCAACACTTTCCCGAAATAAGGTCTAAGGCAGAAATTATTGAAATTTAGCATGCTCGACACCCGACCCACGCCATACTCAAGCAAATCAATAAACAAATGCCTAAACATGCTCAATCTCACGAGAGAAAGCCATAGCCTACCTGAAAGCCGATCACGCGTGCTCCAACTCACGGTACCGGATCTTTTCCCCTCCGAACGGTCTCCAAATGCTTCCCCACTAACAACAGGTTAATCACCTCGTCATTACTAATATATTGACACTAAAATTATAGTTTTCGGAGACGGACCCAAAATCGGGTCTAAAATAGGATTGTGGAGCCCACAATTGGAATCTCGAAAACGAATCCGTGGAAACGTCCCAAATACCTTACTAAACTAATACCCCAAAATTTAGCACAACCAGATGCCTAAAACATAGCAAATCAGCCACAACAATTAAAATGGGCAGTCCCTTGATCACCAAATTCTGGGAAAACGAGACCCTTTCAACCCAAACAGATTTTACCACGACGATTCTTGCGAAAAACTCTACAAGTTAGCCACAAGAATGACTCAAAACGGACCTAAGATGATCAAGATCTCACATTTCAAAATTCAACAACAATTCAATCCGGCAATCACCCTGTCAGTGGCTAAAATCGATTCCTTACCTCAAACGAAGCCTCCCCTCGCGTTTCTGAGATCACCGCTAGATTCCCCACGAAATTCTCTTGAAGTTAGCCTTTTGAAGGACCTAATTTGGACTCAAAATGAAGGAGAAATCTTATGTTGAAGTTGAGGGAAAAAATGGACGAAAATCGTCCTAAAATCTGGAAATTTCCAGATTTCCCTCCGCAGCCACGTGGCGTCGCGTGGCTCTGCCACGTCACCGCCGCGTCAAAATTCTACAACCCTTCAAACTTAAATTTCGATGTTTCGGACTCGTTCGGAGTCGGAAAAAATACAAACCATATATGGAATCTGATTGGAAACGATATTTCGGACTCAACGGTGAAGGCGGAATTTCCATTTGAAGATTGCTTCAATGAAAAGTGGGTCCCACACCTAGTATCATTCGAAACTAAACTAGTTGTCAGAATTTTCATCTGAGCACGACTTCCAATAAGGTTGACCAAAGTCAACTTTTCAAGTT